TAACGTAAGACGTAACGTAAGACGTAACGTAAGACGTAACGTAAGACGTAACGTAAGACGTAACGTAAGACGTAACGTAAGACGTAACGTAAGACGTAACTTATAACGTTACGTAATACGTCGCACAGTGCTTATTGTTGGCGGGACTGAGGTAATGTAGAATTGAGATGCAACAGGTGGTCGCGGCGACATGACGCTCTGGCCCCCCGTGCGCGGCCCGTGTGGTAGAAACTGGTTCGTTTAAAAAAAAACAGTAATGGGATATGATGATAAAGAAATCATGTTGATGATATAGCAATGATGATGATGATAATGCAATAACTAAAGAAAGAAATTCAAATGAAATGGTGGAAATGGTGCGTGTGTATGTTTTTTCGGACCGTAAGGCAGCCTACAGGTGAGAGGTGGGGAGTGAGCAAGGGTGCACGCGATTGGTCCCCCCAACCCCCACTGTGCGGTGGCACCTCGTCGCACCCGCCTTCCGGCGCCAAACCCAATCGGATGCACCACCTGTATGGGGCCGCCTGCCTGCCGCACGGATGGGGGAGGGGGTGCCTCTTTACGCCGCGAGGATGGGAAATCATATCCCATATCCCCGGTAGGCAGGGCGCGTGCGGCCTCTGATTGACGAGCGCACACCGGCTCAAAAACAATGTGATGTTGTTTTTTTACAAATAATGTAAAATTGTGGTGCCAATCCCACCTTTTTTTAGAGCAAGCTGCAAATGATGTGACTTGATTGTATATTTTTAATGACTCTATACTTTACCTACTCGAAATACAATAAAACGTTCTGTTAATTTTCAACATATTTTGTGAATATGTCAGTGATTGTATAATTGTAAAGATATTTTCATCTTTTCTGAAGAAAACGTATTAGCATTGACAACTATTTCATCAGATATTTTGTTGGCAAAACGTACGTCTACTATTTGACAAAAGAAAACTGTCATCAATGATCAAATCTTGATCAAATTAGACTGAACTTCCTGTCAAAAGAAAATGACAAATTATATATTCACAATCATCCGCGCGATTGTCGATAAAGGATATTTTATTTACGGTGATGAAATCTCCCCCCTCCGATGTGACGCACAACTAGACGTACAACAGACCGGTTTTAACTTCTCTTGGCTATGGCGATGATGAACGGGTATCGATTTCCCTTGTGCGAAGCGAAGGGTGCTGGTGATGCCTGCCAGCGGTAGGAGGCGGCTCGGCGCGGCTCGGGCGACCTGGCTCTGGAGCAAGCACCTGGAGGCGGCCTCCCCCCGCGCGCGCGACGAGACAGACGCGTTATGGCTCGGCCCCTCGCCTCGCACGCCCGGCCGCACCAAAGCCCCGTGTAATTGGTGCCCATCTCCCCCGACTTGTTGCTCGCGAGGCGCGGCCCGGGCGAGTAGAACGGGCAGGAAAAAAAAGGAGGAAAAAAAGACGTGGCAAAAGTGAGAGAACACGGGGAGGGAAATTACACTCGGCCGCAACATGCCTGCCCCGCCCCGCGCGGCGGTACACCTCACGAGCCCGTTAATATCGGCCCCGCAAATCCACTATACTGACTGGAACCGCCGCCGCTTCGGCGAGGGGGCAGTTGCGCAAAGTCTTGGGCCGATCACGGCGGCAGCTAGTCAGAGCCGTGAATACGGCTTATATTATTGTATTCGCCTTGATATACGGCCGGCCCCACGACAAAGGCCCCTCAGGCCCCACCGCACCGCGGCCCCTTTGTACTCCTCTCTGCGCGCGGCTACGCTGTTGCCGGCCGGCCCCGTAAGTTTTATTCAACGCCTAGCCTAATCCTGTTAACGCCTTAACGACGTCAAGTTTTTTTTTTCCACCGCTCATTTTTTGTTGTTGCCCCCTTTTCCCCCTTCTTCCTTCTCCTACGTCTCCGTGTGCGTTATAATGCCAAACTTTATCGTGGACGCGAACCTAAGTCGACCTTAACGATGACGGGCCAAACGCAAACAAGAAATTATTATTATGTTTGTTGTTGTTGTTGCGTGTATTTTTTTAATGGGAGTAGGTTGGCGGAGGGAAGGCGAGGGGAGGTATTTTATTTTGAGGCAACAAACTGTCACCCCCTGCCTGGACGTCATGGAAGTTCGAGCCCAGCTGCAAGAATGCAACCGTCTCCCCACCCACACGTAAAGCCCCTCCCATTTCGGTAAAAGGAGCAGGAAGGCAAACCTTAAACGTATAATCTTACGGCTTTAACAAAGCTACGCAAGGCTTGGGCGGGGTAGGGCGTGGCGGGACGTGGCGGGAGCTAGCCAGCCAGCCCTGCTGGCTAACCTACTCGCTATATAGCCATATAGCCGCCCCCATTGTAGTAAGTTAATTTATAGCCAGCACCGCTGGGCGGGGCGGCCGACGGGGCTAAGTAAGACTCCCGCGGGCTGCTTCTGCGTGGGCGGGTGTGGTGTGCGTGCAAGTGTGTGTGTGGGAGAGAGAGAGAGGGAGAGAGAGAGAGAGAGAGAGAGAGAGAGAGAGAGAGAGGGAGAGAGAGAGAGAGAGAGAGAGAGAGAGAGAGAGAGAGAGCGTTGTGGAGATTGGAGTGGAATTAACCAGGGGTTTCTAAGCGTCAACATTAGCACCACTTTTATATTACAGCCACTGGATGATGTGTTTGCAAAGAAGTATTGAAAAGAGCTGAGACAAGTATTCGCGAAGGATTGTCGTTCTTAAAACAAATGTGCACAATGTTAAAAATAATTAGAATCCCTAAATGTGAGGCCCTTCTGAAAGCGCTTAAATGTTTTGTACATGGCAAATGAAAGTACATCGTTCACGTATGAGCATCGTTTCTTTTTTAAGTGAGGGTACTAGGTATACTTTGTACTCACCCATGACGGTCATGTTGCTCTCCCGGTGCACCGTCTCGAACTTTGGCGCGTCGGCCGACACCTCGCACCGGTAGGTACCCGACGAGTTGAACGTGAGCTGCGTCAGCGTCACCTTGGTGTCGGACGCGCTCTTGGGCGCCAGCTGCAAACAAGGAAAACGACAACTTGAAAGACAAAGCAAAATCAACAGGCAAAGTATTTTTTGCGTCTGACACACCCACAAAAAGAAAAAAAAGGCCGAAACATGCGTCGACAGAAACAACACTCTCGATATCGCACTTTCAGAAGACCCCGAGACGGTCGCGACAGCCGCGCGCGCATGTCTGCGAATAGCGATGCGGGGCGCAATATCGATGGAGCAGGGGCTTTATTCGCACCGCGAACATTGACACGTCTCGTTAATGCGGTGCGGTGTCGTTCAGCACGACGACCGACAACGACGCAACGACGCATAATGCGTTCGCACGCACGCACAGGGCAGGCGTGGCGGGTTGCCTTGAAGATATCACGTCAAAAAATAGGAGCAAATTCCCTAACTTTCATTTTTCAGGAAACTTCCTTAAAATCAAGGTACTTTATTTCCCTAAACGAAGAGGGCCCCTCATGTTTTCTGTCCATACTTAAAAAACAAAACAAAAAACAGACCGTGCATAATTCTACCGAGCACATTTCACTGTGTGCAAAACCGCTCGGGAATTAACTTTTCACGAGCATCCCCCCCAACTACACGACGTATGGGAGAACCCGTTCGGCAGGTACTCCTCGTCCGCCTCCTCCAGCAGGAAGCGGTGCACCGCAGCCGCGCGGTGGCGGCGGCGGCAGTCCGCCCCTCCCTGCTCCCTGTTGCTCGGGACGTCCTCCTCCTCGAGCACGGACGACGGGGGGTGCGGGTGGGAGGGGAAGCTTGGTGGCATTTAGGGGCACCCGCCTCCCCTCCTTCTCCAATCTCTCTCTTGTGCCGCGCACCTCGAGAACCACAGCCAGGAAACAATAGAGTCATTACTTGCGGCACACGCCGTGCACATGCGCTCGGTCGCGTCAAAGCCTCCCCCGCACACACACACACCACCGCCCCCCTACCCCCCGCCAACGCTGACATACTACTCCACTGCGCGCGCCGTGTAGTATAATAGGGGAGAAGGGCGACCCGCCAAACGAATTGCCTGCTCGGCAAAACGGCGGCATATAGCACACGGCCCCAGCTCATGACAAAGGGTGGTAAATAGGCTTCCCCGGGGGTTTCGCGGCTATTTGAGAGGTACGGCAAGCCATATGGCATACTACTGCGGTTCCCGCTATCGGTGCAGCGAGGATAATATAGCTCAACGCGTTCTCTGTCTCTCTCACACTCTCCCTTTCAGGGTCTCTCTCTGTCTCATGCGCGCTCTGTCCGCATGCATCTCGTTGGCGTGTTTGACGTGAAACGCGCCGGAAAAGCCGCGGGGGCGCGCGCGCCAACCGAGCACACCGCCGAGGGCATGCCGTTTTAAAGGTATTCATACCAAATGAGAAAACAACGGGAAAACAATGTACGTGCGTATGTAGAGGGAGAGAGATAGAGGGAAAGGGGGGGGGGGGTAATACGTGTTTTGTGTTTTGCAACGCGGCTGGCTGCAAATACGTCGAAACGGCGTTTTCCCCCGCACCATTTTTGTTTGTTTCGAGCAGCGCCCCCGCGGCGGCGTCCGCCACATTCCTCATACTTCTCGGTAGGGGAGGGGACGCGACGCGCAGGCAGGTAAAGCAGACGGTATGAATGCAGAACAGGTCGCCTCCCTGATCACGACACGCGCCGAGCATGCTTTGCCACGTGTGCGTATACCAAGCACTGTAAAAAGGACTACTCTCAAGTTTTAGAGGGGAAGAAATCATTTTTTTGGGTTGCAAACAGAGGTTTGAATTATTTTTGTGCCATATACAAATAAAATATTATAACGGTGAACATGTTGTTGCAACAACATAAACGTAAAAAATTTGTCATTTACAAGCGTATGACACAAACATAAGAACAACAGTAAGAACCCTTGTGGATTGGATCCATCCGTGGCAAAACGATGGAAAAGAGTCGAGTAACACATGTTGTTGCGGAAATGTTGCACGCAAAATCAACAGCGGCAAACACAAATATAGTGTTTGGTGTTGCCGAGTACCGGTGACGCGCGCACCCAGCAGCACACACGGCAGCGCCACGGTCAAAATATTTGATTAATTAACCCGAGAGCGCCACTCACTCGCAATCGCTTTGGCGTTTGGAGCGGGTGCGCGGCACACGTAATGCCAGGACATCCCAACTTGACGGTGTTGCGTTACAACAAGGTGGATGTACGCCAGACCAAAGTCTCGCGTAACAGGCTTCACGAAATCTCAAGAAACAATGTTGCGCAGCCGGCATCGGCGTGGCATTGTCAAAGAGTTATTAACTTCAGAAAGTATTACGACTGGTTCTCAGCTATTTTATTTTCGGTTAGTAGCAAAAAGCCCGATTTTGGACTACAAAGAAGTGTTGTGATTTCACAGTTGCTCCGTATCGAGCAAGTATTGGGGAACAACAAAATATTTTTAACAGTGTTGTACCTCGGCACTCTAAAACACATTACACGCAACGAGTTTTTGAAGTTGAAATTGGATCTCTCGGTGGATAGTTTAGAGTCATACTGTACTGTGGGTGCGTACTATCGCGCTGCTCGTCGATAGTCCTTTGCTCGGTGCCTCTCCAACTCTAACCGAGTCAGAAAGCGTCCAGCATGTCTACTGGCAATACGCTACTTGCGGCACTATTTTGCTGCTTAACCGCAGGGGAAGCTTCCAGAAATGCGATCCCGGTGAGACAACTTTAGTAGTACTGAACAGAAGGATTTTCCACGTTCCATAAAAACTTAACTATTGTGTTCGTTTGAGGAGACATGGGCATGTCTACATTAAAGACAATAGACACTGAGGACTAGGAGTGTATCATTTTCAATGTAGACACGGCCATGTCTACTTTCTTTAATGTGGACATGGCCATGACTACTTTCTTTAATGTAGACATGGCCATGTCTACTTTCTCTAATATAGACATGAGTACCATGTCCACTTTCTTTAACGTAGACAATGTACACATTTGAGTTGACAGAGAAGGTTGTCCTGCTGTTAAGCCTGTTGTTCGTAAGCACTTTGCAGTGTAGATGACACCTTAATAAATATTACCTTTAATATTACCTTTGTATATTTAGGTCAAGTGTCAAGTGTTTTAAGGTAGAATCTGCTAAAAAAATAAACAAATTCTGAAACTGTTCTCTGTAGATTCCAACGTCTGGCGTCGCACGTCGGCCCGAGGTCCCGTGCGCCCTAAATCTGATTCCTCCACTCTTCCGACGGGAGAAAAATGATTCTGCCGCCTACCCACCGCGCTTGATCGTGTTTGGCATATCCGATTGGCTGGATGAATTTCTTCAGCGATTTCCAAGCGTTGCCACGGTTTTTGTTTTTGATCCTACGCCAGAACACATATCAAAGGTATCGTGCCAGAAACATCATTCAAGGGGCAGACCAATGAAAATGCAAGGCTCAAGGGGGGATATCGCGAAAGGTATATAAAGATACAAGTCTGCTGTGAAGCGGAATAAAGGGGTCAAGTCAATTTAGCCCCAAACTGAAATTCTTATAGCATGTTGCAGTGCGTGGTAGTCCGCTTACGTCCACCGAGTGCTTTGGAGATATTTCTCATAGGATAGGAGATATAGTTGTTTGTAAAAGGGACTGCGTCGAGTTGTCTCCTTTTGCTCGATAATTTACATGTAGCAAAAGGAGCTGAGTCGACTTATTCCCTAAGTCATCAGAATTTCAATAGAAGCAAAAATAATTAAGTGCACTTGGCTCTATGCTCTATGCTTTATGATGCAATATTAATTATTAATAGTGATAAGTTGACTTAACTCCTTTTGCATATGGTTTTAAAAAAACAATTACAATAGTCAAGTATGATTTTAAAAAATGTATGTCTAGTAACCAATGTAAACTTGACTCCTTGGCATCTTATGCATAAAATGTTAAGTAAACTCCCTTTTGCAAATTTTTCGATGACTCATCTCCTTATACTAAACCGTCCAAAATAGTTAAGTTGACTTAGTCCCATTATGCAGTGCTCGCCAGTGATATCCTTTGTTGACGTGTATTCCATCTGGAACATAATATTTTTGGAGAGTTACGTGCAAATAGTTTTTTTGATTTCCTGAAAAGTAAAGTTTTTACACTGTAAAAAAAAACTATCGTGATTTTACGAAATTTTCTCGGTTACTTTTCTATTACGAAGACTTCGTTTTTAACAAATTACGATACATCGTTATTTTACGAATTGCCTTTTCAAATCCAAAGGCCTAACTAAAAGGCATGAAATTTGTATATATTTTGTCAAATTTTATAACTTATATGACCCAAAAATTTGCATCCGATACGAAATATGTTTGTAATCTTACGAAATGTTTCGTAAATTGACACGTACGAACTATTTTCGCAAAATGTTTTTTGCGAAACATTTCGTCGAGGGGGTGCTCACTACCAGATTGGTTGTACACCTCAACTTTTCACTTTTTCACTTTCAGTTCACTTTTGTCACTTTCACCTCACTTTTTTCACTTATGCCCACTTTCACTTCACTTTTGCGTCACTT